ACAATCTCTGGGGAATCATGTACCGCATACCTTTCCCACGTGATGGTCTTCGGCACTAGACTTCGCACCCTCTGTGATGGCCCAAGAACTAGGAGGTGTAGACCCGACGATGGAGGCAATGAAGCTCATGGAAGATCTATTTTCGGATGCTAACAAATCTCTTTGGACACTGAGCGTACCAGCGAACGCCACCCATACCGATAAGGCGGCAAGTACCTCGGCCTGTACCCCGCCGCGGCTGGCGGCACCATCATCCGGAAAGGCATACGATGTACTGCCCATCACCGCAGTGACCAGCGAGAACAGGGTACTGCTTACATCAGCCCTTGACCAGGTGGGGAAGGCGCTGCTTGATTTCGTCGGTGGTCGCACTGGCCTTATTCACAACACATCATTCTGGACCGTTTTTTCCAACTCCCTTATCATTGAGATGTCTGGTGGGTTACTTATAAGAAGAGGATACGAGAGGTCTGAGGCTGATGTCCGGCACGAGCTTATTTCACCGTTGTTAAAACGTGTGGCACACAGCATGTCGGAAATTGTCCTCCCTGCAAGCAACCCAGAGGAACAAGAATTGTATGTCACTTGTCGTCGAAAGCACTACTGAAATGCGGTTGCATACCCCAGGGTCGAAGCCGACAGTAGATTATTGCCTTGTTGGACGAACAGAGAATCCGAGACAAATCCTGTACAAAGTACCAGTGGAGGCGAAAAAATTGTTCACATTCAATGACATGGGCCAACTGGCTTATTATATGGGCCAGTTGGTAAAGGTGGGGGGCAAGAACACCGGAATTGGGTTACTTATGGATGAGACAAGGTTAAAAATAGCTGTAGCCCCCTTGTGTCTGTCTGAAGGGCCCTTACCACTGCCAATCATAATTCTGAGTCCTAGTGTTACGTGGAGAGATCGTGCAACACTGAAACGTGATCTGTGTCCTGCAGCAAGCACTTGTTCCACGCCTAAACATCACAGCTGAGGCCCTCAGCACCTGTTTTGGTCCCAAATGGTGGTGGGGAATCAGAGGAGCAGCGGAGAGAATCGCATCACAGCCACAAATTCTTGACACAGGTGATTACTTTAAAGAGATGCAAAGCCTAAGGAGCGAAATAAAGGAGCTGAAAAGGGAAATAAAAAAAGTAAGAAAAGAGCAAACTCCACATAAATCCCCTGGCACAAGGGCTGGCACAAAGAGACGCCACATAGAATCTGACTAGTGCAAAACCTACCAAGGGTTTTACGTGACTTCTCACTGTTGTTTGGAAATTCATTATCACTGCTGTCACTGGTCATTGCACTGGTCATTATCACTGATATTGCGCAATACCTAGCACGCGCACTGCGCTCGGTGTTGTTTTTTTAATGGAACTAGTGCATAAGCACCCTGCACACCTTGTTTCCACGGTAAAGATGTAGTAGAAGGTTTGGTACAGTCGAACCTCCCCGAACTCATGTGAAAGAACTCTACACACCTTGTTATCTCTACGATGATGTCGTTCGAGAAGGTTTGATGCGCTTGAACAACCCGGAACAAGTGCATAAGCACCCTGTACACCTTGTTTCCCCTGTAAAGATGTAGTTAGAGAAGGTTCGGTACAGAGTTCGGGGTCCTAAAAGAGTCCCGGGAATGACTTCACACATTTTGGAAGAATAGCCCTTTGTGGACAGTCCATCAATCATTAAGTGTCCCCCCTCTCCTCTTATGATTATTTTTGAGTCTGCATAAACCAGACGCTGCAGGTTCATGCAGGCTCAGAAATAATCATGAATATCTTGTCCCAAAAACAACAACTTAACCCACAGCCACTTCCCCCCAAGTGTTAAACTCTTTAGACACTAATTAAGGTTCTTGTAGTGATAGTAGTGTCATTATTAGCGTAGTCAACCAACCAGAACTCATGTGAATGACCCCTACATACTTCGTGTTCTCCGCACTGAAGTTGTTCAAGAAGGTTTGAGGAGGTTCGATGCAGCCGAACCACTCCGAACTAGAGTACAAGTACCCTACACACCTCGTTCCCCTTGCGATTCTGTTCGTAGAGAAGGTTCTGTACAGTCGAACCAACCAGAACACATGTGAATGACCCCTACACACTTTGTTTTCTCCATACTGAAGTTGTTCAAGAAGGTTCGAGGAAGTTCGATGCAGTCGAACCACTCCGAACTAGAGTACAAGTACCCTACACACCTCGTTCCCCTTGCGAATATGTTCAATGAGAGGGAGGCTACAAAGTTTGAAGAGGGGCTAAATAGCAACTGTCGTGGTATAAGGCGTTTAACTCATTGCGCGCGGCGGATCTATATATATATTCGTTACGCGGATGTTAGCCAACGTGATCGGCATATATATAGACGCGTAGGAACACTCACTACTCTCTTCGTCCTAGTTGCCGTCGCTAGTCGCTGGCACAGCCAGACCTTGCTACACCTTTGACCTTTGAGTGGGCGCACAGTTTGCGCATGTACAAAATAAAAGGCGGGGCTGGTGTGCGCAGCAGCTGCACCACCTTCCGCGCGTATAATACGCGTCTAAGAGCGATGAATGCAGATCTGCCATGGAAACGTGGCCTCCTTGCGGCTCTAAGATGACACTAGGCTTTATAACACACGAAGAACGAATCTGGGCTTCGTCTGCGGGCCTACACCAAGTATAAACACGCAAACAAAACGGCACGCACGAACTCGAAAAAACCACGCGGACGCGGTAATTCCACGCATGCGCATTAACGCGCGCAATGAGTTAAGTATAGGTTATAGGATGGCAGCGCGTGGTTTACTGGTTGCACACGAGTGGCCAGTTTCGGGCAGTTTTGATAGGGCACGAGGGCGCAGCCCGAGTGGTCTATCAAAACTGAAGCCACGAGTGTGCAACCAGTAAACCGCCATCGTATGATGACAGCCGGCGATAAAGCTCTGACAAATGAGATTGCGCTAAAGCTTTCAAAACGCCCGCTTTTTAACGCACACCCTCGAGTGCGCAGAGAGAGATAGCAACCGATCGGGAGAGAGACGGCTGCAATAAGCGCTTTAGTTTAGTCCAGCTTGGCCGTTTTGCAGAAGCCACGGGCATTTCTCGAGAGTTCAACGTTACAGGTATGTCAATGCTATTCTTTATCGCTGCTAGACCCCATGCGCAAGTTTTGTAGCTGCCGCTCTGGCTCGCTTTCTCCCCCGCTATACCCAGCGCTCCCTAGAATGCAGCCTGTTGCAGTAGCAAGAAAGCTGAAAGTCACCGAATACTGTTCCAGTCCACTGGAGCGTACGCGTCGGGAAGCAGCTTTCGCTAGTTTTCAGACAGTGTATATACTATAGCAGTTTCTGGCCATTCTAGCCTGAAAACACTCCCTTCTAGTAAAGAAACAGCAGAACACGGAGTGTAAAAGCCCCCCAATTGCATTACACGCTGCCAATTTCCTACTATCGTATAACTACCATATACCCACTGTGGTTTATGCAAATGAGTTTACATACAGCTGGAAATCGTATGGCCTCTTTATGGTATAACTACCCGTAAACTCAGCAGGAAGCGCTCACTACGCATCTACGTTGTTAGGACTTAGGTGGAATTCCTTTGATCTTAGTCTCAGTCATCATATATACAACAAGGCGGTAGAGTTCAAAAAGTACTTGCATGGGAAAAGTGATGCTGGGTCTAGATTTAATGTTTAAGTTCAGGTCAGTCACGCATGGGCTAAATGAGGATCTGGGGAGGCATAGGGAGAGGGAGGGGATGAAAGAGTGCCTGTTGTGTGATGATGAGTGTGAAAGTGTGAGTCATGTGTTGTGGGAGTGTCCAGCATTGTCTTAGGACAATTTCTTAGTTGCCCTGCAGGGGAAGGTTGGGGATGGGTTTGAGCATTTCCAGTCGCTGGATAATTTCAGGAGAGCATCCTTTATTAACCCTGGGCACGCATGCGTACGAGGGTTACAGTACTTGGTTTGTCCATCTGCCTGTCAGTCTGTGTGTCGATGCTTATTCTCGCACTACAGGCTACAAGGCGGCCAACGAGCGACACCAACGGCTTCAAAACTAAGCGAATCTCGAAAATAAAAGGCCGATTTTCCTGAAACGACTACGTTCGAGAGAAAACGACTGCATTCGAGAGATATTCTGTAAAAATAAGCGAAAAAGCCTATATGCATAATCGCACTTGGTTTACCTAGACCTGATCCGCTCGCTCTGTGTACCTTGGATGCTCAACGAAGGGCGCATATCGACTCCCGCATGCTATTTACTTGTGTAGCAAGCCCGTGTCAGACTCTCCGCAAGCTGGAAGCGTGGAGACCATGAGTAAACACATACTCTTGGCCCAACCCATCAATTAGCGGTACCCCGCATGTGTCTTGTCTGTGCCCCAAAATGTTTGTAACATTGATTTTAACTTGCATATACTCGACTATTAAGAATTCAAATCCATCTAAATTGATTTTGTTACAACGAGAACCGTTCATGAAGTTAAATACCAAAATTTTGCTTTGTCACGTGCTGAATGGTAAATTTTGTCACTTATTAGCTAAATAAAAGCACTATAGTGCAAACCCTCGGTACACTATACACGCGTACATATGCATGCATGATAAGTACCGCTAATTGATGGGCTGGGCATACTCGCGGTCTCATGCCAGCCCACTGAGAGTCTGTCATGGGCTAGCTACACTACTAGATAGCTTGCGAGAGTCGATACTCGCCCTGCATTGCAACTTTTTGTGCCTCTAAGGTACGCAGAGCAAACAGATCTGATCGAGGTTAGCCGTGCTAATTAGCATATTATTGGTTTTATCACCAGGTTTTCACGCCATATCTCTCGAAGGCAGTACTTTTACGAAATTCTCCAAATATAAAATCAAGCCAGTGTAGGGCTGAACCATCTCATATCGCTCTTTTGTTGTGCCGTTGCGCGTGGTGGCAGAAAACGTGGTAACAGACAGACAGACAGACTGACACACACACTTACGAACCAAGCACCGTAACCCTCGCTACACATGCGTGCCGAGGGTTAATAAGAACACCTAAGTTTCACTAGACAGTTTTGCTGCTAGTAAATGTCCATAATATTCACCAGATAATCAGCCATATTATTATTATAGGAGTTGTAGTAGTGAACTTCCTATGGTGAGTTGAAACTGAAATGGATACCGACAACCTAGAATATATACTCGACTGAGAGTACTAGCTACTGTTTACATTGTAAAAAGCATGATGACCTTGACACAAAAGCCTAAAAACTATCAACCTAAAAATATTTATAGTAGCAGAGGTACGTACTTATCAGATAAATATGTTCCAATGACACAAAATTATGCTTAGTTCACAATGTGTGGATGTTAGCGAAATTTATTCAACCACAGATCTTTGTTTGACAAGCTGCTTTACATCATCAAGCATATGTTCAATTTGCTTTTTCAGGACAATCAGTTCACTACTTTCTGCACATTTCTCTCTTGGAGTCTCGTGTACCACAACATCATTGATAGCACTACTATTCCTTTCTTTCTCCATTGATAGGTACTTAATGAGTAATTTTTCAAATTCAGTTAGTGCGGCATATTTTTTCTCATCTAAATGGCTACGTAGAAAGTGAATGACTTGTGGTAACAACTTTCCTGAAACATGAACTGCACAGTTGGTGCTTTGCTGGAAGAGTATGACAACTACCAGATGAAGTACCATTGATGGCTGCTCTTCACACAGGAGATTTTTTAGAAGAGATTGCTGATGAGAAAAGAGAAGTTGCCTGTAAAAAAATGTGTATCATGATACAATGAAAAAGCACTGAAGTGCAAACCCTCGGCGAACTGTGAATGTGTGGTACCGCTAATTGATGGGCTGGCTAGCTTTTACACGTGGTCTCCAACTAGTAGCTCGAGGAGAGCCTGACACGGGCTGCAACAGCAGTAGATAGCATGTAGGAGTCGACACGCCCTTCGTTGTGACTTCTTGTGCCTTCAAGATACACAAAGCAAGCGGACCCGCTCAAGGTAAGCCTGTTATAATTAGCCTATTAGCTTTTTTGCTCGTGTTTCACACCATAAATCTCTAAAACGCAGCAATTTCAGAGAAAACCCCACATAGTTTTCGACCTATACCCGACGCTGATTACGTGGTATTGTTTGTGGAGCGATTCATGGCTCATGAAATGAGATGTCGGGTAACAGACAGACAGACAAACACAACAACTACAGTAACCCTCGCCGCACATGTGCGCCAAGGGTTAACGAATGTAATTACCAACTACAATGGAAGACAACAAAAATGTGGCAAGTTCTGCTACCAGATACATGCTGGTGGCAGTTCTGAATTCTGTTGAGACTTAGTTCATGATTTATAGGGCTTGACTAAGGAGAGTGCGATTGTGGAACAACACAGCCATGATGATAGTTCACATTTTAAACAACTGCAGGCTGATAAATATTGATCAATACAAAAGATCGCCACTGTCCATTACATTATGCAAGTGTAGATTACATTCTCTTAAGGACTCACAGCGACCACACGCATTAAACGTTTCAACGCAACACACCCACAATGTTTTCACACATGCGCATGAACCGTTCTTCATACCGATTATAGAGTTTTCCGCAGTGCTGTGTTTATTTGCTACTTCACTCACTAACTTCTAGTAAATTTGAATTCACCTGGCGCCGGTAGTCATTGTGTTAGCTTTTTATTTTATATAAGCATATTTTGTTTATGGGACATACAGCTAACTCTTGCGTGATAAAGATTCAGGTTATAAAGATTTAGGCCTAATTGTTAGACAACTTTGGTGTTCAAATTAAATTGCTAGTCTTCGAGAGAAAAGTGAAGCTCTAAGATTCATATGCCGCCTGTAGTCTTTCGTTTAGTGCTGGCTAGAAGCGTTGGCAGTTGCAAATCTGGAACATGTCTCTTTTGGATCTATGTTTGGGCCAGGCAACATCACTTACCATAGAGCTAAGGGATTCAAAGCTACCGCTAGCGCTGGTAGCAGGTTAGTAATATAGCTAGATATACAGACAGATGTAATCAGTAAATGGCTGAAAGGAAAATAAGGCACATGCTGGTATTCACAAAATCATCAAGGGTTTATAAACGAAGTCCAGGCTCTTTCTATGGCAGTGGATAATATTGAAGGGTGTGGTGGGCAAATGAGTACCCAGTGTTTAGGTAGTCTGGCATAGCCTGTCTATTTCCCAGGGAAGAAATAGTCAGGTGACGTAAGCATCAACGACCCGTATCCCTGGTATGTGGTGGTTACACAATACCCTAACATCTCAGTGTTACCAGCGGTGCAATACTAACCCTGGTCTTTCACGATGGCTAGCACCAGTAAAGTCCACAAGGACTCTCTCCAGCTTTTGCCGATATTAGTGGCGCTCACATAAGCATCAGGTGGCTCTCCTCTCAACTACAATGACATCACCACGCATATTGGTTACATTCCACGCCGTTCTGCAATCTGAAACTATAGTTGCAGAGGGTACGGGTCGTTGATGCTAACATCACCTATCTATTTCTTCCCCGGGAAATAGGCAGGCTATGCCAGACTACCTAAACACTGGGTACTCATTTGCCCACCACACCCTTGAAAAGCACTAAAGTGCAAACCCTCGGCGCACTAGAACTGTCAAACTAAACACATGCGCGGTACTGCTCGGCCATGCACTGTCAATTTACTTTCTTGGTAGTCCAGTATACTTAAACGTGAAGTCCGTGGATAAAATATCTGCTAAGCGCTTCTAGCAGAACCTGTGCGCTCACAGCTAGCTCGCGCAATTGCAGAGGCGGAGTCGCTTCCGTGCGCATGCGTATAAAAGGGGCGGTGCCTGGCACAAACATGGCGGCGGTAAAATTCGTACCAGAAGGCAAGTGTATGGAGCCTTCGTTTGTACCGCTAGCGCAACGCTGGAACAACATAGCTGCGGTGCGTAACACGGATTGGTAATAAAATGTGCGCACGCGCGTAACACGTGTACATAATACGTATAGTGAAGTGCGTGCAAGCTGGCTGTATGGCTCAGTCTTCCTCAAAAGATGTTCCTCAGGACTCTGCTGATGGAAAGAACAAGATAATTAATATCAGCTATGTCGAAGAGCTTCGCCATTAGCTCCACCGGCTTCAATGGAGGTGCTCCCGCAGGAGCGAGAGCGGACTTTAGAGCTTACATTCGCTCCGTGAACGCTGCCATCGTGTCAGTGTTGCCAAACGTTAGCTGGAGAGTCAAACGTGGGCCGCCGGCCCTCGGTTTCTTGGCCCCTGGAGGTGCAGACATTCATGTGCGAGTAGTACAAGAAGCGCTGTTCAGCGCATTCATGTGCAAGTAGCGCAAGAAGCACGGATTCAGTATTGAGAGGCTTTTATTAGGACAAACGCAGCGTGTTTTAGTGCGTGGAAACGGATGCGTGGTAGCCAGCGGCTCAGGAAATGAAGAGACAGTAGTTTGAACACCGCCATTTTGTCACGGTGTGCGCTAAAGTTAATCGATTTTTGCCTGGCACGCCCCTTTTTATACGCGGACTACACGTTTAAAACCTTTGCTTCGTATGTGTTCCAAGGGTTAATGAAAGCACTTGAAAGTGAATAATATAGTCAACATTACGCACAAACTCAACATGAAAAGTGGCAGTTCTGTGCCACTGACATCATTACAAACACAGAATAGACATATGTAGGCCAATCTGCGTACCAAAAAATGGTTAGGGCAACCCAAAAAATAGTTCTTGAGAAATTCCTTACATAATATGAAAAGTTCGAAGTGCAAACCCTCGGCACACTGCGCATGTGAAGTACTCCTAATTGATGGGCTGGGTTATCGCTATGCATTTACACTGGTGGTCTCCACACAAGTAGCTCGCGGAGAGTCTGACACGGGCTAGCTACACTATCCCGTGTAAAACAAAGCGCACAAACTCAGGTATAGGCGCATTATTTTGCGGTGGTTTACTACGCGTTGTCACACGCTATTACGCATGCCGTGGGCGTGTCATTACGAGGTTAAGTGTAAACAAGCGCAGTCGCACCCCCAAGTCTTTACACTCTAGAGTGCTGTTCCGCACAAACGTGGGTGTGTCAATACGCGGTTATGGGCGAATGAGTGTTTGCTGAAAAACTTCGCAAAATACCGCGAGCGTAGAGTGTACGCCGGCGATTGCGGGTGGAGCACGCCGTCGCGCGTTACTACGTGCGAACGCTAAGTCTGCGTAAATTGGTGTGACTTCCCCCTTGAGTGCGTAAAAGCGCGATATTTAGCAACTGTCGCCGTTTGTGCGCGCTTTTACACACATTATTTTACACGGGATAAGATAGCATGTGGGAGTCGATACACGCCCTTTGTTGGGACTTCTTATGTCGCCAAGCAAGCGGATCAGGTCGTGGTATATAAGCCCAGTTCGATCATGCATATTGGCTTTTTCGCTTGTTTTCACGCCATATCTCTCGAACACATTCGTTTCAGGAAAATCACCCTTTTATTTTTCAGGCTCGCGTAGTTCTGAAACCGCTGGTATCGCTAATAGGCCGCCTCAGCCTGTAGTGCCAGAATGACCGTCGACACACAGACAGACAAACCAACTACTGCAACCCTCATTGCTCAAGGTTAATAATGAAAAAGCACTGAAGTGCAAACCCTCCGCGAACTGCACGTGCGTGGTACCGTTAATTGGTGGGCTGGGCTACTAGTATGCGTCTACTCGGAGTCTCCCGCTAGTAGCTTGAGTAACTCTCGAACACAACAGTTTCAGAGAAAACCCTTTTACCCACATACTACCACATACTTTTTTCAACCTATACCCGACGCTGAATACATGGTATTGTTTGTGGAGCGATTCATGGCTCATGAAGTGGGATGACACACACGACAACTACAGTAACCCTCGCTGCGCATGTGCACCGAGGGTTAAAAAACAAACAAACTATGTTTTGAACCATTTCATCTTATCCAGGGATTGATGGTAATGGGCAACCTCAAAGGGTTATGTCGAGTGGCTTCTTACATATGCAAAAAAAAACAATAATGGTCATGCATTTAAAAATATAACTGAATGTCTTGCACTATTTAAACTTATCCATGGATTGTTTTAGGTGAAAACAAAATTGTTAAGGTTGAAAAAAATTTGGGCCAGCCCTCCATCATTCCATATAGACTTCTACGGACGCAGTGCCATGCCCAACTATACACTGCCCTGGGGGGAGGAGTGGCTTTGCCCCCACCCAGACAGAGTATATGTACAGTACTTGTTGCAGGGTCTGAAGGAGGGCTTCTGCACTGACTTCAGGTATGAAGAGTGCACCTGTAGCCATGATGGCCAAATGCATCAGTTATCTCGCAAAGGAGGTGGGACATGGTAGAGTGATAGGGCCTCCAGAAAACGTTCAGAGCAGCCACTTTGAGGGTGATCCTCAAGAGCAGTCAACCTGGGAAGTGATTGATTTGTCGCACCCCCTGGGGAGCTAGTGTCCAAGACGGCATCAGGAGGGAACTGTGCACTCTCAAGTACACTTCTGTGGACGAACCAGTTCGATTGGTGCTCTCCTCAGGCACATGGGCCGTCATGGCAAAGTTTAACATTGAGAGTGCATACAGAACCGTGCCAGTGTACCCTGAAGACAGGGTACTGTTTGGTATGAGTTGGAAAGAGCAGTTCTACATCGACACCACCCTCCCTTTCGGTTTAGGCACTGACATGGGGGCTCTTAACCCGAGGCGTGACAGTGCTGCACTACCTCGATGACT